CCTGACAAGCAGTACAAGTCCACGACCTTTCAGATGCAGGAAGAGCAACGCTGGCAATCACAAGCGGCTCCATATGTTTGATGCGATTAGCGAGTGATCTCTCCTTGGGGTGGGCTCTATCCAAATGATGCCTCCGTTTGTGAGACAGCAGATTCTTCTTCTCAGCCCTCGCAGTATGACCGCACAAGTTGCAAGTCCACGTCAAGTGGTCCAACATCACAGCAAGGTCACGGGTTCCATGAACACGCTGTTTTCCAACCAGGCGCCTTCGCACGCCCTCAAGCCCAGACAAGGAGACCTGCCTAGAAGTACCACCACAAGAAGTTTCAGACTGACAAGACACACGCGGCGGCATCCAATCAGAGGCAGAAGGGGGAGGGGGGGCCGGCAACCACTCAGAAACGGACTCATCAAGAGCGTGGTCTTCTGGGACAGGGGGAAGCCAAGAATCCGAGACAGAACGTTCAGAAGAACCGGCTCCGCGCAACACATCAGTGTCAGAAATCCGACACACAGAAACCGCTTTGGTCCATTCGGCTGGCAAGGAGCAACCTGGTTTGGCGCGCAGAACCTGGTAGTGATCATTCCGAAGGGACAAAACAATGGGTTCACGCAAGTTTCTACATTCTCCAACCGCGATGGGTTTCTCCCAGCCATCTTCTTTACCACCTCGGACAACAACAATACGAGCACCAAGACGCAAAGCAGCCGCGCGCAACGTATGTTGGCACAACCACCGACCAGGTCTCAACAACGCTTTCATCCAAGACTCCCAACAAACAGGGACATCACCGTCCTCCGTGGTTTTGTTCCAGTGGGGATCAGCAATCCACGTTTCACGAAATTCGCGTTGGTGTTCAAGAATATATTGGTGCACCTGCTGTCTCAAAGTGCGGCCTCTCGTGGGCCCCTTGGCCTTGATGCCTTCCCAAGCCTCTTTCTGGCCCAAAGCATAACCAAGGGCAATGGCATTATACCCACACTGTCCTTGGCCTCCGCAATCCAATTCATCAAATGAATCAGGATCAGGTCGAAACTTCACGTCGCAGGCAACAGCAACTTTGGATTCGTTGACTTCATGCGTCTTTTGTCTCCTAGGAGATCGTTCGCGGTCTTCACCACCAGACGCTTGCGCCGCCTGAGGCTTATCAACCTTGGCTTTCTGCGAAGGCACAACAATAGATTTACCCGAAGACTCTTGGGGGAAGGGAAAAGTTTGGGATTAAGAAAGGAAGCGGTAACTTGTCGTCTTCCAACAGCCTGAGCTTTCTCCAAAGTCAAGAGGATATCATCTCCCACCTGAACCGCGGCCACAGTTTCACCTAATTTCCCAGGATTTCGGGCTCGGATAACCCAAGGTTGTCTGCGGTATTGCGGGAGAGATCGCACAACGATTTCTTTCCAGCCTGCACCTTCCAGGGACTGAACAAGGTCCTGTTCGATCCAATCACAAGGGACCCCACGAACTTTCCACGCAACACCAAGCCCAGTGTCTGAAGAATCAGAACCAACACGAATACCTAATGCAGAGCCCCCGCCTTTCCTCCAAGCAAGTGGCTTGCCTCCAGCTTCATGAGCGACTCGTTGGAGATAGCCAACTTTGCTCTCGTTCGACAAAGGGGGGACCCACTTGACAGGAGTTTTAGCGACCAGAGCGCCTTCAACCGGCAACCAGAACGCAGCGCCAGAACCAGAGCAAGCCAAAATAGAATCAACTTTCGAGGCCAAAACACGTGCAATTCCTTTCAGAAAAATTTCTTCCTCTCCGGACTTGCCACGCAGCCGTTCTTCTCGCCAAGAATGGGAGGATTGCAAGGCATCTTTAACTTCACTCTGCTGTCTGGCAAACCATTCCTTTAAGAAAGGGTGAGGTCCAAGTTTGGCAGATTTCCAAGTATCCGTTTCACAAAAACACTTGGGAAGCAAAACCTGCAACGAAACAAGTTGCTTGGTGGGGGGGAACAACCTTAGTAGAGGAAACAACATGTCGAGGAAGATCCGGGGTACTCGTACCGAGGGGTCGAAACAAAAACCGCTCAAAAGAAATCTTTTCTCCCCTAACAACAGGCACCTGACACTCAACGCCGTCATCGACGCAATCGTTTGGGGCGATTTTGATTCCAAGAGCAAAGGAGCCATCCAACTCATGTAAAGTGGCTAGAGCTCTGAGCTGCTCCACTTCTTGAGTAGAGCGGCACCAAGTCACGGCTCCAGTCGGCCACTTACCCTCTTCAAGGGAACACCTAACATCATGAACCTCCCGAACGGCCTTATGTGGCCAAACTGACGGAAGCAAACGAGGGTGGTTACCCTCCTTGGCAGGATTAGCAGCCACGGTGGCCCAAGTTTTGGGTTTGGTAGGCTGTTGTTTCCTACGGTCAAGCCCGGGATGGTGACTACTATTCATTGTCACTCCATCAGTGGAATTTCCAACTTTCCTATCAGTGGGCGGCGGCTTTGGCTGTTTAGCCTTAACGGTTCTTTTCTTCTCAGTAGCCTTGGTCTGCGCAAACGAGGAAGAAAAACCATTCTTTACCAAAGCTTCAACCACAAGTTGAACCACCTGTTGAATCAAATCAGCACTGATTCCATTGCTAGCAGGATTCGCACGCTTTCCTTTGCGACGCCTGTGAGCGTGGCGATCAAAAGGCCCGGGGTGGGCAGCTTCCCCAACCCTGACTCCAACGTAGGGGTCAAAATCAAGAGTGCAGAACCAGTCCAAACAAGTCAAGGCACTTCGTTGAAACCAGCCAAGGTCACAGCCAAACCATACCTTTCGTTTAGGAACCGCAGGCTGAACAGTGGGGATAGTACATTGCTTATATCGAGACTTGCCAGCAATCCACCATTTCAACCTCTCAGCTCTGAGTTTCACAGCTCTGCGTCGCCACCGAAGCCGTGGCCGAGCAACGCGCGACCGACCGACAAACCGACAAGGAAAACGTGGAGAGAACAGTCTAGAGTCCTAACGAGTGTGCTTGACAGGCCCAGGCTTCCTCTTCCTAACTTTAGGCTTCGTTTTCCCAAAGGTCTTACTGTCGTTTCGACGATTGGGCCCAAAACCAAACAAGACAACCGAAGCTTTCAAAACATGCAACAAACACGTTTTCAAATCCCAATCCACGTCCTTCTCGCCGCTGAGCCAAGCGAAGAGACGTGGAGCTGCGGCACTGTTGCCAGTCGTGCAGAGCGAAACCATGGCGCTGCTGACGACGCACCCTTGGGGGCCCGAAGGGCCAAGGTAAAAGGAGTGAAAGGTGTCTCGAAAACACCTCCACAGTCCCTGCAGGAACCAATTGAATTTGAGGGAAGCCCCTAAAAAGACATCCCCAAAACCTTCCGGGGGTTGGAAGCAAAGCAAGCAGGGCAAAAAGCAAATGCAATGAATTGATCCATTCATGTAGGCCGTGTGGCTCTTGAATTTCATTTTTATATCGGCTCTTGGCTCTTGAGATTTCTTTATTGGGCTCTTTGTGGGAACTGCATGTTCCGTGGCCCTTGCAACGTGAAAGTCAACCATGATGCCAGCAGTAAAGGCGGCACCTCCCGTGTGGTCCATGAAGTCCTTCATCATGACGGCTGTACCTCGTGTGAAGCTGTAATCAGTGATATTGGCTGTCGGCAAGAGGCCCGCCATTCCTGTCACCGATTGCACAGTATGATCGCCCCGCTTCAGGCAGCCGAGGCAAAAAGCGACTCCGAAGGTGGCTGCCAGGAGCACCCAAGGCAAGGCACGGAACAGGATCCGGGCATTTGCCAGCTCCATCATTGATGGTCCTGAGGTTCCGATGGGATTCGAAAGCTCCACGGCATCCAACAAAGCATTCACCGTCTGAACCAAAGCACGTCGATGTGCACGCTCTTCGCCTGCTAGCTGTAAGTTGTCCGCAGCTTGCAGGATCTTTGTCCCCTCGTCCTCGGCTGCTAGCCTGGTCAACCGCTTCTCTCGGATCTCGTCCGAAAGCCTCTGCACCCGATCGTCCAACACTGCCAGCTCGCTTGCCATGGCAAACTGCACAATGTGCACGAGCACGGATGCAGAACGGGCCCAGCCCGACACGTCTAAATCCGATCGTCTGTTTCTCAAGAGTTTTGTTTATGAGAGCCGCTCTTGGCTTTCCTTGAGCCAAAATGGCTTGAGCCAAAATGGCTACGGAAAACAAAGCTGTTGCTCCATCTTCAGGTCCTGCATGTTTGTCAGCTTGGACAACTTCTGAGTTGCCTTCAACAGGTGCAGCTTGCCTTGGTGCACACTTGCCATGTGTGCCTCTGTTGTTTGGATCCTGACGTTCTTGAAGCAGCGTGTCAAGTTCGGCTAAACCTTTCTTGTTGCAATTGCGAAGCAGCTCCTCCATCGTCTCATCAGGAACGTTGAAGTCGAGGACCAACCGCACACTTGGCCATGGCGCCAAAGGCATATCATCCTGCAACTCGCCACTTTCGGTGAAGAGTCTTTGCCGAAAGTTTGAGTGGCCAACCCCATCAGCAATGATCCGCTTCAGGTCTCTTATGGTGCAGCCACGTTCCACCATACAACGCAACTCATCCTCATCAAGCTTGGCAATGGTTGCACCAGACACAGCAACAACTTCCATGCTTGGGTCAAGTGCTCGCAGTGCGTGTGCTCAAATGCTCATCAAAGTCGCTGGATGGACTTGGGATCGTACATCTTAGTCAAACAATGGTAAACCCGGTCACAACCCTGCACTGAGGTTAGTGTAGTGAGGCATAGCGGCTGCTGTTTGATTCACCCGTTAATTGTTTGAACAACATTCTCTCCCGGCCATGCTGTTGCTTATATATCATGTGATTGAGATGATCGAGCAAACTCCAAGCCATGTCCAGAAGTAGCCATAGCATGCCATAGCCATATCCTTTCCACTTGGGGAACACCCAACATTTAGAGCAATGGAAAGGGCTCGGCTCTTGGCCAAGCCAGGGTCATGAGGGGTCTGATCTCAAGCACCGAACACATGGACGCATTCCACACCCTGCTTTGTTCAGGGACAAAGGCCGGCGGGACATCCACGGTCCACGCTTTGTTCAGAGGACAACATGTAGACGTCCAACAATTCCATATGCGATCTTGGACCAGGAATGATGGGCTTTTTGTCCTGATGAACGACGGGAAACCCAGTGCAGATGTCCTGATGTGCTTTTTTAGGGATGAAACATATCCGTGGGAAAAGAGGCATCTTGAGGACAACTATGTGATGCAAGTGACCTTTGGAGTCAGCTGCTGGTACGCAGTATTTAAGCTGATTGCAAGAGGTTGTATCCTGCACATCATGTAGCCACAAAAGAATAACCCGTGGCTGCTCAGAAGTTGTCCAGCCCACACAAACTCGCTCAGGCATCATGTGTTGGAGATTTGGACTAAATGTGACCAAACTAGTCAGAGCGTCCTTGTCAACAATATCCCTCATCATACATTCTTGGCGTCCACACCCGACCCATGCCAAAGACTCTTGCATCTTCCAGCACATTCCATTGATACTCGAATCACAATATATATACCAACTGCACCACAATCTTCATGCAACTCCATCTCACCATCACCTTCAGACTCCAACCAACCCAACCCAGATCTCGCCTCATCTTCTGCCTTCTCAGCCTTCTCGATGGGATTCTCCTCGGGCGACGCTCCACCCGAGACGCTCACGACGCTCCGGGACGCTCCGGGACGCTCTCAGGCTCCGGGCAAAGGCTGAGGCCTCCCCGCCTGCAACGGCCGGTCGTGGTGATTTCGGTGATCAATTCATGGGGGTTGTGATGGTGTTTCTGTTCGGGTCCGTTCTTCACTTGCTTATGATATATGGTTTCGCTGGTAGTTTATTGTATACACTCCGACTCACTGACATGGAATAATGGAAAGTAGACTTCCGAGGGTTTTCCACTTCCATTTTAGTGAGTCAGAGGATGTAGGATGGTTTTCGTGACTTTCGCAAACAATTGCCAAGTCTACACTGTACATAGGTTGCAAAAGATCTCCCCCTTCCCTTCTAAGATGGATTTCAACGATATTCCCACACAACCACTGCTTTTGATATGATATTTAAGCGGTTCATTTAGGCACAGAAAAATCACCTTGGAGGACGTCATGAAAGTCAATCTCAGGGCCTGAGGCTCAGGTGTCACTTTCAGGTTCGCTGTTTGGAGAGTTACTGAAGATTGAAGCTGTGAGTAAGTGTTGGAAAGTCCATGGCAAAGTTTCCGGTACTTGTACAGCTTGCCCCTCTACTCAAACGCCAGTCGCTCGGTAGAAGGCTGTGGGTGGCACCGGGGATTGAAATCTATCAGAACAACCCATCTTTTCTCCAAGCGACCTGCCATACTGCGGGTTCTGCCAAAACTTCCCACAACGACCACTCAGCCCTATGGCTGGAGCCACCCAAGCCCTCCAGTATGCTTAGAGATGTGAACGAAGACGATGCCAGAGCGCCCTGCCCTCGCGCGTGCCCTCCGCGCGCCCTTCCGCGCCAGGTCCACGGGGCCGCTGCAGAAAGGGGAGGCTGTCGAGATCTAGAGCTTGTGGAAGCGGCCGTCCTCTGCGCAGCACCCCCCACACACAGACACCAACAGAGGGGGGGTGATGTGGACCCTCATGACATGGGTGTTTGGAACCAATCCATATGCGGGTTATGATATGTGTTGCTGCTTGTTATATTAATAGATGGTCGTTGATAGAGAGGTTATGTCGCCGGAGGGGGTTGAACCGAAGTGGTGTTGAAACGGCCTGCGATAGATGTGGTATGGCCAAAGCACAGCGTGGATTTGAATGCTCGTGGCTTGCAAGTTCCTGGATCCAGCCGTTGGCTTCTCCCAAGTCGTTTGTCATTTGTCCGCTGATTGGGCCAAGGCTTCGTCAACCAATGCGTATACCATAAAACTATTGATTGATGTATATAGTATATATAATATATATACATGAATCGCATACCCTGACCAAATGATCCACAAGGAGATCTTTGAAGCCTGAGTTGCTCCTGCAAAGGCTGGCATTTCTGTCCCCAGTGGCTGAAGCAGGGGCTGCGGCAGAGACGGCGGCAGCACAGGCTGTGGCATGCCCATGTTCTGCAATTGGAAGGAATTGCCTGGAGGCCAACCTGCAAGCAGACACCACCCGGCTCTGCATGGCAGACTAACGATCTCGGGAGTGGTCAAAGCAGCTGGTTTTGGGGGAACCTCGGGGACGTGTTTCAATATGCCCACAAGCCCAAACCATCAACAAACGCTTGAAGAATGGCGACATGGAAAGAACACAAGGAGCAAAGTTAGCATCAATGCGAAATCTCAGCAAACAACCGCGAGTGGTAATAACTTTTCTGTCCTTCAAAGTATCTTCATAGGTGGACGATCCTACCAAATCAGTTTGGTGAGTTGGGTCGAGACAACAGGAGACGTATTGATACGTAGGTGTTCGAACGTTCACAGGCCTTTTCGGGGCTCCTGCCAAGTTCCACAGTATCATTATTATCAATACGCATTATGATACTTCATACATCAGCATAAGTATTACGGTGGTTGGCCGTACTTTCCAGTCCCATAGTATCGCAGGTCAGAGGCCTTAATGGTTCTTCGATTCCATTACGGAGTGAATTGCACGGGTTCATCCGTTGACGTTTTCAGGTTCCAATCCGCAGGCACCTGGCATCTGGAACCTTGGCAGGCTGGTGATAAACTCGAAAAATCAAATCCAAAAACCAGACCGGTCATGAATGGAAATGAAACTGCTACTGTTACCAAGCATGTGGGAACCCTTCAAATCCATTCAAATCCCAACTATCATACTATGTCGATGACAGGGTCTGCAGGGGATGGGGCCTTTGCAAGATCGCTGCCTTTGCTCCTCAAAGATCAGTTGGACCCCTGAGTTCATACCAACACCTGCAAAGCGTGAGATATCTACTTTCTGTTGAACCAGATTGTGGAACATCATGGAACAACGCAAAGGACTGTAGAAACTACAAGCTCACATCCGCACATCAGCTGAATTAGAAGGCCTTCTTGGAACATGCAAATGATAGAAATACAACAAGTAATAGTTCTATAGTAATTTCATTCATATATATACAGTATTATACAGTAATTGTTCGGCCGTTGGTAAAAGACCTGGACCTCAAATTCTCATGAGGACAGGATGGTATCTTGGTTCTGAATCTCGGGGATGCCCCGGAAAAACGCTGAAGTCGCGCTCTTATGAAATGAAAAAATATCAAAAGCTTCGGGAAATATATAATACCAAAAAATGACGTTGCACCGTTTTACAGTTGACTCTCTGAGCCCCTGACGAGGTGTACTTTGCCACCGGCCTCAGCGATAGACCAACTATGTAAATAAGCGTCGGGAATTGACCCTTTGCCCAACATGATCATGCATGATCCAGAAACAAAGTTTCCTCTGCCAACAGTAGACAATTCAATTCCATTTCTTTTGGAGTCCTGTCAAAGAGTCTGCTTTCTGGTCAAACAAAGGTCGCCGCCTGCACTCACTCAAGGGCCGAGGGTCTGGTGAATAGTAGGGTGCAGAACCCAGCCCTTTCGGTGCAAAACCCAGCCCTTTCAGTGCACATCCAACCTCACACTTCAACAACTAACGGATGAGACCTTGCGATGTTGTGATTCACTCCCTGGCAGCTTCAGGAAAAGGGCCCCTTCACCCAGCCAGTGGCCATTGCAGTGGGACCATTAATTACATGTAATTAGCCAACCCACTTTTTTTGACCCAGCTCCGGACCAGCTGCAATTCCTCCTTCGCCCGCCATGGGAGTCCCGACGTCCAGGCGACCATCGGGGCGCCAACGGCGCTGGACCAGCACCCGGGCGCCATTTCGGAGGCTCTCACGGTCTTTAAGCGCCTTCTCAGAGGCTCAGGTAGCACCAATAGCGGCTGAACAAATAGCACTGTGAAAACCTCCTAACCAAAGACGACCAAACCTTCCGGAACGTCTTCGGAACGTGTGGTGGAAGATGAACGTCTTCAGAGTCTGCCTAATTTGTGTTATCTCGGATCGAACCACCCTCCTATCATCGCTTTTCACACAAAAACACACACCGTGCCTCCATCTGAAAACCTGCCACTCCTGACTGTGTACTTGATATGTGACGTGCCTCTGCCTTGTCTCTCTCCTGAAACTCTACTAGGAGCGATCAGACGCTACGAACGGGGCTCCTGGCCTTACTACTAGGAACAAGAAGCTACCAACGGGGCCGGACGCTACTAGGGATATCTTGAGCCTGCCACCGTGCGGTGTGCGGCGTGATCCCCCGAAGCCGCTTCGGCGGTGGCCACTCGTTGTCCGTTCCGACGGAGTGGGAAGAAAACACTGTGTGTGTGTGTGAAAATGCACTGGAATTGATGAATTCCTGATATTATCAATATATTATCAATATATTGCATTTACAAGATTATTCTTCCTATGTCTATGCAAGACCAGTCAATGATCGAAGACATCAGGTGTGACATCCTCTGAGAGTCCGAAGGCTGATGGCTTCCAACAGAACGCAACAGAATATGATGACATCATAAGGAAGATTCTTCCACCTTGTGATGCAAATCTTTGCTGTCACTTGATGGGACTTGCCCATGATGGAGTAGTGGACCAGCTGCACCCATGAAGCTTAAGGTGTTTGATGGCGATCATCTCTACCAAAGGAAGGATCTCATGCTGCGTAGAGTGGATGGCTTTTGAAGTTCATTGTTGATTCTACAAATATGTGTTGAACAAAAAAACCTGCTATTGCTCCATATTATGCTCCACTGGCAATGACTTTGGTTCCCTCACCTAAAGTAAGTAGCGGAGAACCCTCAGAACAACTTGTAGATGTGCTATCCACATGGGAACACGTCCCTCAGCTACCTCAACCGGTTGCACGGCTCTCTTCGACGGGTCCGAGGGAATCGGACCAAAGTACTCGAAAATGGGAAGACTTTGGTTACTGGGACAGTTGGATAAAGTGGGCTTTTGGATAGCATTTCGATGGGACTCGTCAAAAGAATCTACTTTCCTTTCAGTTGATCGTGAACCGACCCCTTAATCCGCCCTACAGGCTCCGAATCTTCTCCTGGAAACCAACCTAACCACCGAACCCCATCGCGAAGAAAGCCGCGAGGAACAGCCGATCGCACGCCCGCGCTCCGAAAAAGCCACGCCTGCCATCCGCACGATCTCCTGCGATTCCGCACTGGGTGCACGGCATGAACGTGGTATGGCTACGTATGACACCGGCGTCTTCAAGTATATACAAATACAAATACAATGGGCAGTCTTGTTGAAATACAAATGGGTCCCATGCTTCTCGAGTCACGCCTGGGCTTCCTCTCCACATTTAAGCCAAGTGTGTACCAGCAGCACAAAGGGTGCAAAATTGTGATTGAATACTGAGGACATCTGACCCAACAAGCGGTATGTTTCTGACCGTTCGCGCATTGCTGGGCAATGCGGAACATGCTTCTCCACCCGCAAGCATTGAATGACCAAATTCATTGAACAGCAATAATCATCTTCCAGATCTTCCTGTTCAGATGCAAGATCCATCCAGTGCACCTGCTTCCGGACGCACGCCTGACACAACCTCCCAGCTCCGACGGCTCCTGATACCAGCTGCGCTCCACCGAGGCCACGTACTGACGCTTGACCACCTGGGCCGTAGCCCGGAGCCGAGTCGAAACGACGCTGGGACTTTCCCTGAAACTGATCGAAGTGGAAAACCATCAGGTTTGGTCGTTCGGTCCTTTCGGGGCCATGCTACCAAAGCACTTGCGTGTTGGTTCCAGGGAGTGTAACATGGAAGTGGATGGTCCACCTTTTTGTGAAGAGAAAGGATCTTCCAAGGCCAAAACCCCCAAAGAACCCGCAAGCCTGGTTGTCCCTGAAAATTGGTCACCGATTGCGTTCCGAAAATGTGAACCGAATGGGTTTGTTTGTCCGTAAAATGGTCCGAAAACACGTATATGGACCAATGGTTCCGAAAGAGATCACGCGGAGGGTGCTGCTGGCTGGGGAGGCCCTTTGATGGATCCGGAGAGAAAGCTTGATCGACTCCGACTCCTATAGAATCCAGCATTCAGGCGTGACAATCACGCTTGGGACCCCCCTTGGTTTCCAATCACATTGCTAACTGCTCAAGCCCAAAATGTATCAACATCGCACAAGTCACATCTAGTATCTGTGTCTATGTAAAGCCCTTGCATATTCAACCAATATCACTTCAAGCTCTTAGAACTCGATCCATGTTTGGAGGGTGTTTGATGTCGACGGAACGCTCCTTGCCACCAAATCGGTCAAACATTGGCGGAACGCCATCGTCCCAAGTCCACCAGGCTCTTTTCCTCTCGCCCAGTCTGCTTGAGTCTTCTCCGGGCGCAAGTGCAGTAGTTCCTGGGTGAAACAAGACCGGACGCGCTCGATCGGGAGTTCCCGCTGGGGCTATGGTGGATTATGGTGGACGGAGGTAGGCTTGACTGGAGTCCAAGTGAGAGTGAGAGAGTGAGTTAGAGTGAGTGTAAGTGTGCCCTGAGTTCAGCAGAAAAATCGACAAAGACCCTGCAGTACATCTTGAGTAACAATTATGGAAGCCCGGGGTACCGGATAGATACCAAAAGCCTATGGACCTCACTGCATAGATGTGAGTACTGGCACTGGATGCATCTGGATGCGCATCGACCAGAAGTAAGGATGGCTTCCTGACATTCCAAGTTCGAGTGGGTGGATAATTTGCCCCCCAAAGGGGAATTCAGAACTAACAAACTGACTTGTGACTTGTGTTGTACCCATGGGCCCAAATCATGTAGGCTTGTCTGATGTTTTGAATGCTAGACTTGAAAGCACTGCCAAGAGGCTAGCTTCAAATGTACCGCAAACTTTGCAGCCTGAAAGGCTCAAAAGCGCACTGCAGATTAGGGATCCGTCTCCAAAATCATCAGGCAAATCAATGCGATCATCATCTACCTATATTCCTATATATGCCACCTAAGCCTAAGCAAGCTGAGACACTATACTGGCGCTGGGATGTCCTCCTACTGTCAAGCTCGAGCTTGGTTGGACAAAAAGCTGTCCCAGACTGGAGCCGATTCTCTGGGTTCTGGCTAGTTGAAAGTAAAGAAAGTTATGAACAACATGTGTTCTGCTCTCCAATATCATCGGGTGGCCATCCCTTGCCGGGGGCCAGGTGTTTTCTCGTGTGGGCCTCATGTCCTTCCCCTTCATGGAATGATCTACGTCAGGTCCTCACACCCTCTCCCTGTTTTGCTCGGTTGCACTCACAAAGCCATCAATAACGGATAAAGCCGGACCCCAAAATAACTTCAACTCTTATCAATCAACTGATGAGGCATCTATAGGACAAGCTCATCAGGATGTCATGTTGCGACTGGCAGGGGAAGAAGCCAACTGCTTTGACCATTACCGGAACAAGAACATGCAAAATCACACAAGGCGTACAAGAAACCTATACTAGTAACTAGTATAGTCAACCTCTTCAACACAACATGGGAAATAAAAGCCAGAAAACCTCAACATGTTCCTGTTGTGTGTTCAGAGTCCGTTAGAAACGCACAAATGGTTTTCAGGTCTCTGAATTGAGAGACGTCTGAGCTTCAGCAAGATGTACGAAAAGCACACATCCAAAGCCACCAGGGCCTACCACATCCAATCCTCTTTTCATCCAGAGCCATCCCCTCTTTCCGTGTCGCCCTCCCGCCCCCGAACACGCACGCCTCATCGGTGCTCGGCGGCACGCCGCTGGTCGCCGAAGCTTTGGGCGACCTCGGTCGTGAAGCGGTGACACGATGAAGTGAAAGAATTTGAAGTGGATCGAAATGGATCGAAATGGACTTTTTATGTTTTTTTAGAAAGACATGTGGAAAAAAATACAACATGAAGTGCCAAGAATCAGCTTCTTTCACCACTCAGGTTGGAAGTGGTCCCTTTTCTGGATGAACGCTAGGCTTCTCATTCTGCCCAAGGGCGGAACCCCATGTGACCCGACTCCCCGACTCCACGCTGTCCACGCTGTCCGGGAGGCAGCAGCATCCGTGGAGCCATGCGGTCCGTCATGTGGGCCACATCCAGCAGATCACGCAAGGGCTTACGCCAGATGCCCACCACCTGACAAACCGAGTTGAGCCAGGGGTTCTCGGAGTGGACCTGGAAGGGGTGCCTGGAAGAAGCTAAAAGGACATGCCGCGTGTTCAACGGGAATAGCAACCTGGAGTAGAAACAAGGACAAACAAGGTACAGAATCCTTGGTACTAAGTTACTATAGTGACATCAGTGACATCTAGAGAATAGTGCACCTCACCAAACCCATGAGGAACTGGTCATGGTGTGCTTGAATAAGGCTTGGAAAGTCCTTGGACGCGCTTTGTTGTACCTACTTCAAAGGACATGCTGGCTGCTGGCTTAAACTGGTTTAGCAAAAGGAACATCCATCTTACCCTCACCTTCCTGAAGGTGTATTGCTGGAGGTCGATCCTTCTTGTATATCTGGTCCCTACAGCACTCACCGTCTTTCGAGTGGCCCGCTTGCACGCGCCGCTTGGGACGGACCGAGTCCACGCGGGGAGACGCGGTCGCCTCCGGATCTGCCCTTCGGTGGGCTTGGCAAATCTCCAAGTAAAGCTCTTGATCACGAGGGCCTGAAGCTCTTGGCGTTGGAGATGGTTAAGAAGGAGAGATGGTTTTGTGACCCCACGGCAGGGGTGATTTGGGAGAAGTGCAGACATTTTACGCACGGGTCACGATTCTCTGGCTCAAATTCAGGCTGACATTGGGGCATCTTCAGGTGACCTGTCAGAGGTGCATCACTCGATTGTTTGAGCGCTCGGTGGTTCTGAGATGGTGCCGTTCACCGGTCTTTGGACGATTCGACATGCTTTAAACGTCGGGTTCGCTGGATCCTTGGGAAAGCACGGAGAAACAAACATGAAAAAACTGTGTATAAAGGATGATAGAGGAATAGAATGGAATAGAGATAGGTCGCTGTTCAGCTTTTGACCAAGTGATGATTGAAACCAAACATCCACAGAATTTGGCTGACTTGGGGATGAACCAAGTTTTACTTTAGAAACCAACTGTCAGAGACTTCCAAAGGGTCCAGAAAGGGTCCCTACCCTCTGTACTCGGAAATGTTGGCTAAAGGCTTCCCTGCAATCTCACTTGTGCCTTGACCCCTTCCATCCCTCCCATGTTGCACATGCAAAACCCTGTGCAACCCCTGCCCGAAGTCCAGTCCCAGATGCTTTTCGCCACCAATCGAAGTTGTTGTCGCCAGTGGCACTCAACACAGGGGCCCTGTGTTGCATTTGAGCTGGTTGATGCCTGCCCGAAACATGCCCGGACTGTTTGGGATTGAACAGACTTCCTGTTTCCTGAACAAGTGTTTTCGATGTTTTCTTCGGTGGACATGTTGTGTGAGCTTGCAGGGCAGGAGGCTGTGGATTCCATTTCCTTGACCGAACGCTGTGGATTACACCCCCCCTCAATTTGTGAGTTGAAGAAACGTTGAAAATAGGAGACATCAACGGGCAAAGGAGCCGTTTCATATGTAGTGGGGAAAGCCAAGCCGCTGCACGTTTGATGGTTTCCAGCAATTGGGAGGTTGCATCTTTCACCGGACGCTTACAGATGACGACCCCAAAAACAAACAGAATACCGAGAATACCGCCTATTAATTCCATTACCCCCCGGGTGCCAAAATAGCACGTCCTGTATTCAAGACGAGGAACCTCATACCAACGAGTACCAGTGGCTCTCATGTGCTGTCCATCAAATCGACTCTGTCGTCCGATGGCCGGCGGTCGGACCGTAGGACCAAGGGGTGGGCGCGGCGCGGGAGACCGAGCGAGTCCGGGAAGGAGCACCGATCGCAGAAGCGCTCCTTCTCATCCTTCTCATCCGAAGACAAAAGACGTGTCCTTGTCACTTCCGAGGGAACCTGTGAAGAACAAGAACAAACAGAACCTTGTCCTATCTTGTCCTTGTCATCTCGCAGAACCTGTTCCTATATCACTTCCTCTGATCCTCCAACTCCCCCAATCTGTGAAAGCCACTCCCCGCGGGCGTCATGTGAGGCTGCCAGCTCCGTGTTTTCAGCCTGGCCTTGTGGGCAGGGGTCCCCTTCTGCGTGGCTAGCTCATCAAGGAGCTTCCCCAAACGAACCTCGCACCAGACCTGGCCAACCGAATGATGTGGGCAAAGCCGTGAGTCATAACTAACACCGCAGTGAACATGGAGACATGATGAGGAATAGATGAAAAAGAAGAACATAGACCAAGGACTGATGGACATGTGATCTTGCATCACGTTGGAACCTGGCCAAAAGTATTTTGGGTCGTGGTAAATTAGTTTGTCATTGTGTCATTCGTAGATGTTGTTTATCAACCCTACCTCAAGGTGTGTCATGTTCACTGCAGCCATTGGGAAAAAAGCAATAGCTACTATAATCTACTATACCCTCTGGAGAGTGCGTTCCGCCCCAACGCCGTGCGCCAAGGGACGGGCAACTCCAAGATCAGCGCCATGCGTCGGATGCAACCCTCCCGGTCACTGTTGAGCCACTCCTGGAGGGTCACGTGGATTGGGGACCTTTGCGGAAGATGAGGTTCATGAAAACCTGGCACTGGATGTTGTCCACCAGAAAACTTCTGAGTGTTGGAAGTTCAACAGTCTATACATAGGAGATTCTATGAGTTGAAGATCGTTGAAGCAGCAGCATTCGCATCCGCAAGCATCAAGCATCTGCAGATTCCCATCAACATCACCCAAATTCCTCATCAACATCAAGCTCTTGGATACTCGCACCCTCCAAACCTCTCCTTGAGCTCTTGCACCCCTGCATGACGCCGCGGTGCCGCCGCACCACGGAGCTGCCAAAGCTCCGTGAGGCGCTCCCGCCAGCGGTCCTCACGGCCAGCCCGCCGCGGCCAACCCGCCGCGGGCGGTCAAACCGCCAGCCATGGATGCAACCCTACAGGTCGACCATCTCCTTTTGCTGGAGTTGATGATGCAAAAACACGGGTCAATGAGGTCAAGGCCCCGAGTCCTGAGAGACACTTGGGGGATTCAAGGTCTTGAGATATTCCTGAATCGGTGGAATAATAAGCGTTTGCTGCTACCTTGTAGTACCAAAACCTGGGTGTTGTTCAAGGGAAAACTGACAAAACTGGATTGACCTGATGGAACAGCATGCCGCTGCCAAAAAATGTTTAGAGCATGATGTGCGTCTTGAAATCAAACCTGCAAACAAATGTGGATTTAACGTACGTGTTAAACATCCGAGAAGGGAACATCGGCACAAAAATCACAACTATGAGCATTGACAATGGCCAAGAGACTCATTCATTTTGTTTCACGGCTCCGGCACCCGAAGCCGGACCCGCGGCTGGTTCGATCGCGTCCCCAGGTACCGATGAAAAGCGGTGCCGGTGCGCCTCTTCGGACTCCACATAGGCTTCCCACGCCTGCTTCACATCCACCTCCTGCACTAGCGAGACGCCGCGCGCTGTCGCGAAAGATCACACAAGTTTTTTGCCAATTTGCAGGAGAAGGATGAGCTGCGTCCGAAAAGCGAACATCAAGCAAGAAATTGGGCCTTGGTGCTCTCACACTAGCCAAAATATATAACTACATTAATGAGCTTTAGTGTATATGTATGTATATATATACTTGGCGTTTTTCCCACTCCCGAAAAGTGTTAGCCAACCACGGCCTGTCAAGCCAACTCCAGAGCTCTTCTCGTCCTTTTCCTTTTCCTTGTCCTCCTTAAGTTCTCCTTCGCCTTCTCCTCTCCTCGCTAGCAAGTGACAGCAAGCGCAGATCACAGTGGGCACTGCTGGACCTCAACCGCAAGCGCCAGATCTACCGGACGTCAACAGCCAGTGCCAAATCGCAGTGGGCACGTATACCGGACCTTAACCGCAAAAGGCAGATCGCAGCGGGCACTGCCAGACCTCAACCGCAAGCGTAAGATCGCAGTGGGCACTATACAGGACCTCAACAGTAAGTGCCAGATCGCAGTGGGCATCATACCGGACCTCAACAGCAAGCGGACCTCAACCGTTAAGTTCCAGATCGCAGTGGGCACGACCAGACCTCAACAGCAAGTGCCAGATCGGTTACCGCAAGTCAACCGCAAGCGCCAGATCGCAGAGGGCACTACCGGACCTCAACACACAACCACACAACATAACCACAAACAAACAAACAAGACACAATACACAACCAACTACTTTACTCGAGTGATCCCCACCATGACATTTCAATGGTGAGGAGCATGTTGCCATTGGTCGTGAGTTTTGTTTTGTGGTTTTTCGATTTTGCTTGTGGGTCCCCAGGTTTGGGATTGTTGTTTTAGCGTTGGGGACTTCGCGGCGGGGTGTTGCCAGGGTCTACAGTTGGCATCCAAAAGTGCTATACCCTGTGACCACCTGCCACGCAAAACGCCACACACATACAGGTAATTATATTGTTATAGTTGAGTTGTTTTTGAGTGTTGTGGTTGTGTGTTTGTGGCTGTATGTTTGTGATTGTGGTTATGGTTGTTTGTTGCGGTGTTGATTGTGGTTGTGTGTTGTGTGTTGAGGTCCAGTAGCGCCCACTGCGATCTGGCACTTGCTGTTGAGGTTCGGCAGCGCCCACTGCGATCTGCTGCAGTGCGTCACCTCTCCGGAAAGCCACGATGTACGAGGCTATCAAGCAGGCACGCGGGAGCTACAGCAAGCTCCTTCGGATGAATGAGGCTCCTACCCTTGATGCTGGCCATTCAACTCAAGTATGATGCAACATGCTTCCTTTAATTCTGGGCTTGGGTAGACCCATAGATAGAATAGTACAACATTGAATAGTTTTTGTCTTTCTCTGGCTTTCCTCTCCTGGTTGGCTTTATTCTCTTATCTGGGTTGGCCTTTGCGCAGGCCAAGAACAGCTGCGAGAACCCAAACCACAAGTCGCTGCGACGTGCGAGAAAAAGAAATAATAAATGTCCGAAAGCAACGCCAAGTATATATATATAACTATATATTGTGTGTATATAACTATAGATAGTTACAGAGAGGTTCTCTCTTAGAGTTTCACTCCACAAAGCTATTTTGGCTAAAGCTAGCCTTGAGCCAAAATGTAACCATTTAACTTGTGCAAAGACCATGTGCTGAATGATTAGCCTACACCAAACCTGCCCTAAGCACTATAGGCACCGATATTTTATAACTATACAATACATATAATACATACTGTATACGTTTTTGGTAATTACAATGGATGCACTCTTCAATGGAGGTCCAAGGAACACTCACATTGTCGCCAACACTTGGTGCTCTCCAGCTGCTGTCAAAGCTGTCTCCTATTGTTCTCAGCATCCTCCAACAGCAACACTTCCACCTTCCTTCACAGTCCGTCCGAACAAGACCACAAAATAAGGCTCAAGTGGATGCAGGAGTCCGAAGTCCCTGCATCCTTGCGTACAGGACACGGGCCACATGGGTCTCCTCTTCACTCGAATCCCCAGCAATCTGTACAGCTTGGGCCGTCTGGTCGAAGTTGCCTCGTGTGAGGTCGAAGCACACGTGGAGACGGCAAGGCATGGACCTTTTCAAGGGGCAAAGTCTGCTGCTTTCTTCCAGTATATACTACCCAGAAGTGAGTTAGGACTTTACGGCAGCTCCAAAAAAAACAAGATGGACAGATGAGATAGGTAACGAAATAGGGTACAAAAAGAGCGGGCAAATGAGATCCTGCTGGCACATAAAAATTGCAACCCATCTCATGTGCTACACCGTGGGCGTACCGTAGCCGTCAATGATAGCTTTCAGCCGATGAGATAGGACTATGTGCTGAATGTCAGTCAAAAAACAAAATGTATAGTCCCTAGCCATGAACGAGCAACGCCCGGCATATATGCTGGCATCAGCAAAGCTCTTTCAGCCCATGAGTTAGGTCCTTGTGGCCAATTCTATCATCTCCTGTGGTCTCCGCCAAAAGTAGGCTTTCGGCAAATGAGATAGTCCAACGGATTGCGGGGTGTGCGTTCGAATACTCCCAACTCACCTGGGACTAGTATATCTCCTCCAAGGGACACATTAAGAGTCGCTCGACGATGGCTTGCCCCGCCTGCACAAACGATCCGGTGCTCCCACGCCATGGGGTGCGGTGAAATGGCGCCAAAATGGTCGACCACCAGGACCTTCAAAGTGACTTCTGTGGGTCTTTTGAATGGGAAAAATAACGGGTCCGGGTAAAAATCCATCCAACTCAGTGGTCCAACATGCTCCAGGTCAGGCAGATTCATGACACTGTCAGTACCTTTGTTGTATCAACGTGACCTTCGTTGGACGGATACTTAAGGGAGAAGTACGGTCAAGTGACCTAAACACCCTCAAGTTCGGTTCTTTCTTCGAAAATGCTTTCTGAAAGAGGTGTCTATTGCATCAGAAAGCTCTTGGATGTAAAGGGACTCCTATATATTGAGCACCCCTTGTCAAGGGCCCCTTGTGAGTCCTGCTACAAACACATACTGTAAACATCCTGGAACAATGAGCACGTACCATTGCACATTGTATGTATACGTACAGTAATCAGTAATTGTACAATTATTATATCATCCATTTCCGTCCGCCGCCGATCTTCCAATATCCAGTGGCTGGGGTGATATCGATATCCCCCACCCGGGGATATCGGTGTATCGGTATCAGTGCGGCGCAGATTTGGAACCCGCAGCGCAGACACAATGCATTTTCTAGAATCATGGAGGGTGCCCAACCTATCAAACTCCTTCCTTACCGCAGGACTTGTGCCTGGATGCAATGGAACATTCCGCACTTGGGGTGGGGTATCCCCCCCAAATCTAGTTGATCAGTGGACAGTACACCAGAAAAATGACCAAACATTCTCTATAAACCATCTTGGAAGATCCTGCGCCAGAAAACTATAGACAAAACCCTAATTAAGATTGCTGCTGACTAAGTCCCCCCAAGCCTACAAGAGTGGCTTTACATCTCCAATATGCGGGGATATTGATCAACAGTCTACCATAATCTTGGGAGGGCACCCGGCGCCCCGTTAGTTCTCCACTGGTGCTTCGAACTGAAGAGGCTCAGCCTGCACTGGCGTGATCCGTGAGCAGCGCATGGGCACGCTTTGCGCATCCCCGCGCACGAGGTTTGGCGGTGGAACGCCCCCGGGCGGCACCACAAAACTGGGACGTGCGGGACAAGCACGGCACGGCGGTGGGCGCAGTGGATCTGTGTCACGGTGCAGAATTGATGTACCCTCAACAAGCATGGAAAGAGATGGCTCTATCTGGAGAACTCGAGAAACCATGAGGGGATATGAGGGGTATTCATGTCCATCTTAAGGAGAGTTTTGTCTCCTGAAGTCTTGGGGGGTCCATCAATGATGGGCCACTTTTCTGGAGGCGTATCAATATCTAAGTTTGAAGACTTATATAATCGGCAAACTGCCATAAATATGCCATGTCAAATTCAAGGTCAATTTCCACGTGTATCATACATTGCGTTGGTTACTAATACAGCAACCCTGCCCCAGAAAAAAAGGGTATGTGACGGGTCTACCCTCAGATACTCGGATCCACCGAAGGGTTGAGACCAATGAGCCGAGTTGGTCTCTCTTTCCAGTCAGTTGGTGACCTGAAAAAATGCGCCAAACATCCCCCCGTCAGTTGCGGCCACTGCCACGGTGGCGCTACCCACCAGGCGTGCCCAGGCGCCATCGGAGCATCAGGAGGGCTCCATCGAGTTCGGGGGGGCACGTGACGTGCACAGTCCACCTGCGACACGGGGCGAGTTTCTACACCTGAAAAACACTTACTTTCGTTGGCGGCCTGGTGTCATTTGCCCGCTCAATCAGATTGGGCATCAGCTGATGCGGCGTCGTCTAGGTGCAGGGCACACCTGGACAATGTTTGTAGCATCCCATTCTTATTCCCTTGCACCTAATTGGGCACCGGCGGTGTATGCTTGGACCACTCCAGCTGTACTGTGCATGTTGATGGCAACTCCGAGGCCAATGTCCGGTTGTGCATCTTCTGCGATAAAGTCCAGTGCTTTACAAGATTTTGAGAAGGTGCCCCACTGGAGGTGCTTCGCCAAGTGTTCTGCTTGGTGACGAGGCCAAAACGTGCAGACGCAGTGCTGATTTGGACCACTAGAGACCCCGGTTCAGGATGTAGTTTTCCGCAGTTGGGAACAACCAACCAAGCATTTTTCCACTGTTCGAAAGTTCATGAAAACCCCATATTTTCAGAATACCCGGTCAATGGTCTGGGGCTAACTGGACAGACCCATGGGAGAAAGCAACAGTCTTGACAAGCAAGCCGGTGTCAACAAACAGCAATCGGAATACCCATATCAAACCCCTCCAAATGTCTTTGGGGCAAACCATCTCTGCAGTACCACTCAGACTCTACCTAAGCAAAATTCACCTTCTTCCAGCAAGGTTCTATGTAAATTTGAGAGGATGGAACCTTAATCAATGCGTGAGTGACTGTGTGCTGAAACCCCAAACAAACAGTAATACTGCATTTATGCGGCATGTTGCAGTCAAAGAAGACTGAGGGCCCTCCTGTTGGGCTGAAGAATCTCACCAATATCACACCGTCATGTAATCGGACTGTGATTGATCCATAAAACCACTCAAATGGAGATGTAAAGCCATTCTGGAAGGTGGATTACAGTATATGTGATCATTAATGCACAGTCTACGTGCCATGATCCTGTTTTTTCTCGTACCTCTCACGTTCCGGCCGCCACCCCCCGGCACGTTCCCGCGCAAAGGTAACGCACACGTGGTCCTATCGCGTTCTCGGTGCTCCGGGCCGTGAGCAAGAGCAAGGATCCCAGGCCGGCGAAGCTGGCACGCTTGCGGCTCAGCTCGTGAAAGCTACTGGAGAAGAGCAACCTCAGGTGCCACTGCTGTGCCGTAGCTCTTTTCGGCTTTGAGGGTCAAACCATCAGACTGAGTGAGCTGAGCAGACAAAACATGCATAAGGAACTCAGAGTTGCTCTGAAACCAAGCAGAACTCTAGGCCTCTAGGCCCTAGCTAGCACCCTGATCTTGGCTGCTTTTTTGATCAAACAAAAGAAAAACATGTGCTCCAAAGAATCTTTCAGGTGCCCGACAAATCCCATGAAAGGTCCTCCCATGGCTCTGCTGAGCAACTGTGGAGTCGTCGTCTCGCTACCCATGGCCTCGCCGGTCAGTGCGGACCGGGACCGGTGCCGAAGAGTGCGGAGACGACGAACGGTTGCCACCTTCACCAACAAGCCCCAGGCTTCAACTTCAACATGGATAAACTGCTTGGCGGGCCTGGTCTACATCTTCGCTAAAGTCCAAGAAAATGCGATATGACATGAAAATCCACCGTCCGCACAACTGGCCAAACTAGGCTATTTTTTAGGATAAGTGAAATTGATCATCTATAATGGCTAGACTAGAGGGTGCTTCAAATGATCTAGTAGATATGTAATGTTATGATATGTTATGTATAATATAAGAAGCAGCAAAGGGCGACAACTAAAAGTAGATTCTTCTCTGATTCTTCAAACAACATGCGTGACATGTTCACAGGAAAAAGGAGGCCAAGTTGTTCATTTGTTTCTCCGCAGGGAGATTGGATCCGCTCAAGCATGAGGTAGCCGGGCCTTCCGGACATTCCCATTCAACGAACAACGTGTCCGTGGCCTGGAGAGACCAACTGGGCATGTGCTGCCAGCGGCTGCGATCGATCAGCTCTTTGATGGAGATGGCCTCATCCCAACTTCGGAGATGGCCCCATCATGCCCGATGACGCTGGTGTGGGCCGGTGGACAACGGTGGAGACCGAACCACCTCGCGATCCACCGTCCGCTGCGTGAAGAACCACCGGTGGATCAACTGCGCTGGTTCGTGACCGCCCAACCTGCGCTCCCACCTGGTGTGCAATGGCGCGGTCATTAAAGGTGTGCCGCTCGTGAAGCGCCAGCAGTAGCGACTGCTCGAAGTGATCCACCACCAGGAAGGGCTCCTCGTCCCACAGGAAGTCGCCGTCCTCGCCTGGTTCGTGCGGATGCCGCTCAAGGATTGTTCGGATGCCAAATCTGATCACCCCACATCGGCAAACGTGTTCATGAACAAAGGAGTTGCGGATTCATCAAACCGGAGAAAACTGTTCGATTTGTTGAGTGGGCTGCCTGAAATGTTTTTTCCTTGAGATGGTGGTGCTATTTTTGCAAATACCTGTCACTAACATATGTTGTCATCTTTAAGTTGTTAAATGATCGATTGTGGGGTTGGTTTGTTGAACCCGCCCCAAAAAGTAACGGGCGTGTATGGGCGTGTTGAACATGATTCAACTCTACTTGGAAAGCTGTATGATACTCACTATGAAAACACAAGCGGGGTTTTAACCTCTTCAACCGCCCACACCTTTCTCTCAAAGGTGCAGAGGAACATGGAGAGTGAGGGAATCGTATGATTGAAAAGGTTTGACAGAGAGTCCATGTTTTGCCCCAGCCCCATAATTTGCATAGGAGGCCGATGAAAAAGTATCTTTGATGATAGTAGAACTATATATGCGGAATTTCAATTCTCTTCTTCACGCGAAACGTCCGAAGAGTTCCCCCATCTTTCGATCTTCATCTCCCCCCCAGCTCAGTGGCTCTCTGACTTGGCACTGCGGTAGCTGGCGGCGCCCAGCTGCAGCACGCAGCTCAAGGGGCGGTTCGTGGAGGTCACCTGAGCCGATCTCTCGGGGCGCGAAAACGAAGTCGCGACTTGAGCGACTGAGTGTTTTGTGAAAACATGTGGACTCTTGATGAATAAACCCTCCCATTACGAAGAGGTGTTTCAATTCAATTGGGGTGGTGTTTACTGAACCAGGAGTCAAGAAAAACATTGAAAGGGTTGACTTGGCGATGTGTTCTTCACCAGCATGACTCCTCTGAAGGCTGGCTCTTCTATCCGAAATAGGACACCTCATAGGCCCCATGGTACCTCCCACACCCGGAGCTGCCGAAGAACATGATCACTTATCTGTATCTACTGCGGACTGTGTCTACTGTTTTTTCAGCTCTCCATCTTTTCTCGCCACCACCTCCTTGCCCCATATCTTCCACCAAGCATCTCCGCAAGCTCCAAGTACTCGACATGCCAGCACGCCCTAGCAAACGACCCAAACAGCAAGCACCGAACAAACAACGCCAAGGACCCATCACGTGGCCACCTTCAGTACCGAACAGCCAAAGATATGTGATTTCAAATGATGTCACATCTTCTTTCATTGGTGACGCATGATGTTGGTGGGCCTCCAATACTGTTGTCATGTTACCCACCTCACTGGTTACCGGGTGGCCAGCTCAGCTGAAAAAGTGTTTTGGTAGAGGGCCGAAGCGACTGCGGTCAAACACAGGTGACTGTGCCTCAGGCCGGGCATGTTGCAGGCGATCCTGACAGTGGCGGGAGATCATGGGTGAGTTGGAACAGGGAGGAACCCCAGACGAACTCATAGGAGGCACAGGAGAGTGTCCAATGCCCTACAATGCCTTCCGATGCAGTTAAAGTTAAGCTTTTCCACATATATAACTCTACATATCTGTTCAATCCGCCAGGACACCAGGAAGGAGTTAAAGATAAACCACAGCTGATTCTTTTTTGTTCATTTTTCCGTCCGACTTCCAAGCCCCCAGATCCTCTTGCTCTCGGATCTCGATCCAAGCGTCTAAAGGCCACAGCGTCCCAAAGGGCAAGGGAATGCGATTGGGCAGCCTGGCACTCAGAGCCAGGAGCGTAGACTTGGTGTTTTTCGGCGTAAATGAAACTGACGCGACCAAGGACATGCTGTTCAGCTTTCACGCGTGGGGACTTGCGATCGGTGTTTTGATGCTTTTTGTTTGGTGGTTGGGACGTGAGCATGCTCAATCAAGCCCAATGAAGCACGTTATATACATTGCATCACAACTGCTGGGGAGAATGTCTCATCATGGAGGATTTGGTCTATTCTCGCCTTTCTCTTATTTATAATGTATAATAATGATACTGATATAACATGGAACAACATGGAACAACACAACATGGAACAACTGTTCTATCCTAATTATCTTTCATCTACTGGAAGGCGCATGTGACGTAGTCGATAATATTGATGCATACAGCTGCATGCAAAAAGAACGTCTGAACCCCCCCAAAAAAACAATTGATGTAGAAGGGTCTCCAATAAATATGTATCCAGGACATAAGATATGTATGTGCCCGACCTTTTCCCGCTCAAATGAATCAGCTTCTCCAAGTCACACCATCTGGTGTGCCAAGGTCGACGAGATCACCGAGATCAACGCAGCACGCGCCTGGACGGAGACGTGGAACGGTCGGAAACCGCGAAGAAAACCGCGGCGCTGCCGGACGTTTGGGATCCGAGATCTCCCAAGTGAACCGGTGGTTGGATCTCAACACTTGGGTTGGTCAACAGACTGGTGGAATCGATGTTCGCTTGTGGTTCTGACTCTGGTTTGTGCACTAGCTGGAGATAGCTGGCGGAGGTCCCGATGTGGAGGCCCCCCTGATAGGGATCCTTGCAAGAGTATAGGTCGGTCAACCAGCCATTGAACAGATCATGGAACAAGTCACAGTCACAGCCGACAACCAAAGCTGCTTTCAGCAGCTTCGACACTAACCCTTGTCTCAATCCAAAAGCAACATCCCAATTTCCCAAAGCAACCATGATCGTCTCTTCAGTTCTCCTCCAATTAAGAACCATATGGGTCTTGTCTCGTAGTCCCAATCTTCCCCCACCTTCGCAACAGATCACCCTCCCATCCAACGATCATGGAAGTTGCCAAAAAGGACCCTTTGCGGCGGAAAGTCGTCTTCCAACCACACGATGGCATGAAAAATTCTCATGTTGGAGAATTTTCAGCACCGACCTGAGCACCGACCCTCTCGGGACCAACCTACCACACCATGGCTTTCACCGACCCGACACGGTGGGCATCCAGGACGCCCTCTCCGGCACGAAGGGCACGCCCAGCGCCGAGGGCGTGGTGACTTCCAGATCGATCGCCGGGGGATCGGCGAAGCCCACGGTGAGGCCCTGGGTCAACCTGCCGACACCGCGGAACGGAACGGTCGCGAGACACCGCGGGAACGGACGAACGGACTCCCTGGTGGGTTCTTTTTCTGTGGTGGGACTTGAAGGTGACTGGCGGAACAGGTGAGTGATCGGCATGAACAGCTGTGTTGGCATGGTAACAAAAAGATCAGTCGTGCACGGTGAGATGGGAGATTAGAGTGGTTCTGGTGGAGCCATGCTGGCGAACAACTCCAATCAGGTCCTGAGAGCTAACTCAAATCTCGCTTCTGTCTGCAAACCTGCACCACCCCAAAGGCCAAAAGTGAAGAAAATCTGTTGCGACATGTTGCGACAGTTCTGTAACAAAGAACTAAGACATACCAAGACCTCATTAACAGCCTTGCGTGCATCCAAGGCGCGGCAAATGGGGCGTTAGGTGTCCTCAAATGGCCAACCCACGCAAACACATCTTCAGAGGTAATTACATCGCATCGTCTCAACCTCGTAGTTTATCGTTTCCCTGATTCACTGTTTGGCTCCTGATATCGAAACTCCAAAGAGCATCGGAGGATGCAGTCCCTAAAGCTTGAACGGTCAAACCTGTCACAACTCTCCGCAGTCGATGTTCAGTGATTCATGGCTGCTATGTTGACCGCCTCTCTTTGGTCAAAGAATATCCCCAGATCTCAGAAAAGCTATGTTCACGAAATGACAAACCTGACTTGCTTTGCTCCTGTTCAATATCCAAACAATTCCAGGTGATATCTGACATCCTTTGCCTTTTCAATGAACAAAACGGGCCATCTAGTCAACAGACTCCACTGATCCCAAGGTTTGAAAATTACGGGTTTCACTGCAACCCACAACCACTCGAGGATCGCAACTTCACCAGGCGTCGGAAGCCCAGGAAAAGTTTCCCCCGCAAGGTGAGCTTGCTGACGCCCAGTGAGAGACCCATGAAGCTGCCCAAGGTGAGCTTCAAGGTCAAGTCCACCTCCTGCGGCGGAGGTAAGCGCTGGTCGATCGGTGAGCTGGGTTGTTCGCACCACTGGGGAGAACAACGACTTGACTTATGGGCGACTCATTAGCTTTTTCTTTCGGATTGTACAGGGAAAGTGTCTGCCCATTACGAGGTTCTACAAGGTTCTACATGCTGGAAACATCAATTAACTGGAGCCAGCTATGTTCAATCATTGTCACACAATACCTCAGGAAGAAGGCGACCCTAAATGGGTATGGTTTCTTTCGTTTGGGGAACCCGGACAAATCACTGGGCTCCAGGAGGAGTTAATAACCAATCCGTGTGGATTGCAGGAACTCTCCATGTTTAGGCATCTGTCTATACATGCAGCTTCCCAAAAAAATCTCAAGACACTGCCCAACGCTCTTGGGGATGCTGGCTTTTGCATGTGTCTTTTTTGTTCTGGGGAGACTCGCCCCAAGAATATATGCTCAAAACAAATAACAGTAACATCGGTTTTCCATGGGTTTCCCAGTCTTTTCCAATAATATGGACCCTTAAATTAACAAATGCATCCGGCAAAAAAAAAACTCTCGGCGGGTTGTGAGGCAACCGTCCTTGCTCACAAACTCGGTGTCCATCACAAAGAGGATGGACCTTTCTGGCCTCAAACACGTGACAAGGTGGGTCATGGTTTCCCCAAACACCGAGGGTTTCCTGGTGGCGCACGTAGGTTGTTTTTACCAACGCCTTTTCCAGACGGAAAAGGAAGAGTGCAAATGTTGTTCACTTCCACAGACACCCCAAAAAAGCCAGAAAGCAAAACGTGGGATGAGTTCAGCCGGGAGTTCTGAATGAAATGATTCGGTCTCCATGACCTATTCAAGCATATTGTATGAGAGTGCATGAGAGGAAGCAAAAAACAAAACCATTACGCGAGAAAACAGGAAATGCTTATAATGCTTCTATGCCATGTCACAGTGTTCATTCAAAGGCGATCCCCGACGTGACCGTCGGCCATCGATCCCTGTTCCCTCCGCAGAACGCCTGTGGGTGGAGAGCATCCGCAAAGACAGCACCTGCGGTGGAGCTGGTAGAAGTCTCAAGAGCATCTCGCATCATGGTCAACATCAATTCTTCATAACTCTTCCAATGTCTGGTTTAGGAAGTTTGATTAAATTAAGCGAATTAAGCACTAGGCCCCAGATGGCCTGCTAGTCATTCCTTTTGGCTTCCTGGGATTGTTCAGGGCCTAAGAGGTGAAGTCCCTGGCTTCGGGGGTGGGTCTCCATGTTGATGCTGAACACGACTGGGTGGTAGCACTTCACTGTAGTCATCAAAGAGTCGATGGCATGCTCAACAAGAATCTGATCACAGTCGTAGCCAAAAAGAGGAAGTGTTACTTCACTCCACCAGCATCCAATCCAGTGGCAGTCGCTGGTTGGTTTCGTGATTTCTGCCCAAACCACTTTGAAAAAGAAATCAAGGAGAAACCACTTCTCCCCACGCTTTGGGGAAACCGGATGGTACTTCTGTCTTAGGATGCCACCCGTAGGTGACCCTTTTCACCCTACCCGCCCCACCCGGACCCAGAGAGGTGCCACCCGGACTGACCGGGTTCCGAGCTTCGCCTTGGGCGGTTCAGTGCCCAAGAAGGCAGTGTCGAACTTCAAGGCTGCAGTGACACTTTCCTGACCGATCTCAGAGCCCGTGTGTTTTTTGTTTGGCCAAAAGAGAAAAAAAACACGTGGAAGTCGAGAAGTCCGATGTTGGTGTCCATCCAGGGGTACCTCTTTTGGGATGATTTGAGGCTAACTTGTAATTCGTGATGACCATTCTTGGACTGCCGCTCAGTCAAGGATAGCTCATAGCTAGTTGATACAGTCGAACTGGAGAGTCAACCTCTTGGGGGCCGGGTCAATCCCCTCCTCAAACTATATACTCTAGCAACTGCCTGGTAGAGGACCAAACTAAGGTTGCTATGATATTCTGAAAAAAGAAAGGCACGTGCTGTATGTGCGTGTGTATGTGTCTGGGGGGGCCTCTTAAATGCCCATTGATGCTCTCGCATCATCGAAGCACGACTGCACGACCACACATGACCACAGAGTTCAGTCCTGGAGCACTGACTGTACCTCCCCTTTCAGGATATCTTCTTCGATCATTCCACGCAAGCTGGGCCAGAGCTCTGCCAACAGGCAGTTCCAGAAGCTTGGATCGTGTGCCTCACGACGGTGGGGCAGCGGGCCAGTGATCCATGGTGATCCAACCAAGAAACAGCCGATTTGGTAGGGACTCGTCTTCCAGGGGTCTTCCAGGGACCATGGGTCCGCCCTGCCTCCTTAGTTAGTACCTAAAAATGGCAAGCTGCAAGTTTGCAATCTGGGGATCCTGGACAGTTCTGCAAACAAATGTGTGGCAAAAGGCTGCTGGATTCATATCTTCAACCATTTTCCACAGTCCTTTCCCCGTGCGTCAGGACCCGAATATTTGCAACCCACCCATTGCCCCACCAGGTTGTGCCCAGACCTCCTCTTGCTCCTGCAGTGGTGGCTTCAAGAGCCGGGCGCTCAAGCGCCTGAGCCCACCCACCAAGTCAGCTGCACTCGCAACGCGACTGCTCGCGAGAGTACTGGGCACAAACGAGCTGGGCCGCCGTCCTGCATGGATGGAGTCGAGGAATATGGTCGTGACTGGTTGAAGCTTGCTTGAACCAATAGGATAGACCTTGCACATAGACGTCAATCGTTTCTCGCGCCCTTCAAGAGTCAAAGATCCTCCACGTCAGGTGGTGAGGTGGGGCGGGGCCCCAGGTGTCTCCAAGTATGTATGCACTGTAAGAAACAAACAGGTTTATGTCCTTTTTGTTTTCTAGCAGGTGGCTACGATGTCGGTCTGGCTGAGTGCACCTCTGCGAACAAGACTGTCTGGCTGCTCCTGCCGCCATGGCAGCACTTGAGCTCGCGGCACGGAGATTGGCATAGTTCCCGGCCCACTCCGAGAGCCGAGGGCGCCGGGCTTCTGGAAAGTTGAGGCAAAGCAGGGCAGCCAGGAGATTTCCTCAGACACGATCGACGGCATGTCTGGCAAACTTGGCATGTCTGCCAAACAGCATCGAACACCAGGTGCATCAAGAAGGTGTTCTGAAATTGGACTACGCGCTTTGAATGCATGCAAACTGCCTGTCGAACCTGCTCCAAGCCCCATGCATAATGCTCAAACAAGCATGAGTCTATATGAGTCCGGAATCCCCCTTAGGGAGATCAAACCCCCAGCATCATTGATGCAACTGGCACCCCTCTGCTTCCAACTCCTCACATGATTCTCCAGATGTTCTGGACCAAAAAAAAAGCGCCGAGCTTTGTCAGCTGAAGGAGCTCTTGCAGCTGCTCTGCAGCTGCTCAGGTGGAAAACTCCCATGTTTTCCAGAGCGCCTGTAATGGCACAACGAAGCTTTGTGGTCCTGCGACCACTTCGTGCTTAAAGAGATGATCCATCCTCCAACCTGCACCCTTGATGCAAACGGAAGGCTCTGCACGCCCTCCAAGAACTTGAACTTGCCATGGTGCTCCCTCCTCGCTGCTCTGCAAAAATCTGCCTAAGCCGTCGGGATCCTCTTTCAGATTCACAGGTGAACACCCCACGGTCTTAATATCATCACCATATTTTTCGCCTGTTGCATGAGCCACCAAGGTGCGCGTCATTGAGAAGCGGCCTTGTCCATCCGGGCGCAACAACAAGATCTCTTCCTTGTACTCATGGATTGCCTTGGTCATTGTCGGCTTGGCTCCGGTTCGCCGTCTCCAACGGCCAAATAAGCTTTGGCGCAGCAACTGGACAGAAATCTCTTCACCACATGGCAACCTCTCCTGGGTGTCCAAAACGCGTTCACCACTGAGGACAATGCTGATATGATTCTTCTCTTCGTTCAGCTCTTTTAGCAGATCCACCACCCTGGAGCCACAAGGAAGAACTTTTGTGGAATGAAGCTCTCCGGTGGTAGCGAGGTGCACATTGACACGTTGCATGTTTGTGCGGGTTTTCTCTTCAAGCCAAACGCTTACGGCATGTTTCACATGGATACTTGCACGCCTAAACAGTTTCATGTAGAGGTCGGACACGCCGCTGGGTTTCGGGATGACAAAATCAACTACCTGCGGCAAGAACTCTCGCATCTCCAACAAAATAAAGCCCACCAAAATCCGAGTCAATATGTCACAACTTCAGCAAAAAAAAGACACCTCTTTCCGCTCTTTCTGGATCTGTCTCACCTGAAGCCTCCCACCTTCGAGCCGCTCACCTCCCCCCCTTCCCCCGCGCTTCACCAACAGCCACGTGACCCAGGGTCGCCACCCACCAGCGCTTCACCAACAACCGCTCGGCAGCGCGATCGGCCAGGAAGACCGTGGCCACCACGGCCGCCGCTTGCGCCGCCGAGATCGGCGCCGAGCTCGTCCCCAGTGGTCGCCGCAGGGTGGCCACGGGCGTCATGGGTGCGCAGCTGCAAAGGGCTGCCACCAGCAAGGGCACGGTGGCCAACCTGGGAAGATGTGGAAGAAACATGAAAATGAACTTCTTTATAAGATATCCTAAGATTATAAACTTCTTTATAAGATA